TGAAAATTGCAAACTTCGCAAGGCTATATTATCTGCATTTTACAACATTTCGCAACGAAACTTTGGAATATTACTAATTTTGTGATGCTCTTTCAAGCTGTGATGAAATTTTTGTCTAGACTTGTTTAGATCACAATTTAGTCTGTTACGCAAATGGTCAATTAACGCGCGCGCACATCAAAGACAAGAGAAAATAATTTTGCACATTAAAGAGAGCACGCCACGTACTATCTAGAGGCTTCCCCTCCTGATCTATAGTATTGTGCTTCTCGATTTCAATTGATTCTCTCATTTTGCGAGAGAACTTATGACCATCAATCGCCAAAATGGTTGATTCGTCCCATTTTATACGATGGTCGTAAGTCCAAGTATGTTTAGCCACAGCAGATTTATCTCGCTCGGCTTTCTTGCAATTCGTACTGAGAGATTTCGACCAGTTCCACCAATGTAAACCAGACCACATTCACAAGGAATGCGGTACACACCAGGTTTCTGAGATTCATTTACGTTGTCCTTATGTGTGCAAAGAGCTCCAAACAATTTGTTTTCGCTGGAATGGTATACCTTTATACCTGCTTCATTCCTCAAAATTCTTTCGATTTTGTGTGAAGCCGGACCAATGTATGGTAGACAATCAGACGACTGATATTCAATCTTCTGCTGTATACTTTGTGGCGTTTTCTTAGCATTATCTATGAAATGCCGTGGGTAACCATTCATTTTTAGAACATTTCTTAAATGTTCTAATTCATCGTCAACGTTACTTACCTCACACATTGTTTTCGCTCGGTTGATGAACACAGAACAGAGAAAATAATTTTGCACTCCTGCAGATACCTGTCTGTATGTGTTGGTTTCCTATAAACCTTATGTCCTAACGACCCATCATCATGTATAGTGAAAAGAGCATCTAAGAATGGTATAGTTTTATCATCCTTCTGTACTTCAAAAGTAAACATGATCGATGGATGCAAACTATCAATGTGGTCTAGAAACTTTTGTAAATTATCTAGTCCATGAGAGCAGCTACTCAATGTATCATCCATGTATCTGAACCAGAAACCAGGTTTCAACTTTGCAGTAGCTAAGGCCTTCTTTTCAAATTCCTCCATGACATGCGACAATGGTCTTCCCATTGGAGCGCCGTTTGTTTGTTCATAGAATTTCTCCCGCGAATGTTCATGATTTGTTGAAACTATGTTTGACCACATGTTTTCAATGGCGGGAGAAATTCTATGAACAAACAAACGGCGCTCCAATGGAAAGTCCATTGTCGCATGTTATGGCTAATTTGTTCATGGAGGAAATTGAAAAGGAGGCCTTAGCTACTGCAAAGTTGAAACCTGGTTTCTGGTTCAGATACGTGGATGATACATCGAGTAGCTGGTCTCATCGACTAGATAATTTACAAAAGTTTCTAGACCACATTAATAGTTTGCATTCATCAATCAAGTTTACTTTTGAAGTACAGAAGGATGATAAAACTATACCATTCTTAGATGCTCTTTTCACTATACATGATGATGGGTCGCTAGGACATAAGGTTTATAGGAAACCAACACATATAGACAGGTATCTGCCTTATAATTCATTTCATCATCCTAGTATTAAAAACTCTGTGTGTAAGACACTCATCAACCGAGCGAAAACAATTTGTGAGGTAAGTAACGTTGACGATGAATTAGAACATTTAAGAAATGTTCTAAAAATGAATGGTTACCCACGGCATTTTATAGATAATGCTATGAAAACGCCACAAAGTATACAGCAGAAGATTGAATATTAGTCGTCTGTTTGTCTACCATACATTGGTCCCGGCTTCACACAAAATCGAAAGAATTTTGAGGAATGAAGCAAAAAGGTATACCATTCCAGCGAAAACAAATTGTTTCGAGCTCTTTGCACACATAAGGACAACGTAAATGAATCTCAGAAACCTGGTGTGTACCGCATTCCTTGTGAATGTGGTCTGGTTTACATTGTTGAAACTGGTCGAATTCTCTCAGTACGTCTTAAGGAACACAAGACGAATTGCGAGAAAGCCGAGCAAGATAAATCTACTGTGGCTAAACATACTTGGACTTACGACCATCGCATAAAATTGGACGAAACAACCATTTTGGCGATTGATAGTCATAAGTTCTCTCGCAAAATGAGAGAGTCAATTGAAATCGAGAAGCACAATACTATAGATCAGGAGGGAAAGCCACTAGATAGTACGTGGCGTGCTCTCTTTAATGTGCAAAATTAATTTCTCTTGATTTCCCATTATTTTCGGAAGGGTGACTTTCGCTTTTACTGAGGTTGTGCATGTTGTTACTACAAGCTAACTATGCATACATACATGTACACATTGAGATATATATTTCAGAATTCAGAAACGTTTTGCTTACCTGAATAAAAGCAGGATACGACCGGAAACGTATAATAAAGTGTTAAAAGACGGTGAATGGATTTTTCTTTGCCAATGCGATGCGTCGGCGTCTCAACAAAATGAAATGGTTTTCCAAGTATTTCGTTATTTTTACCCATTTGGTATTTCATTTTCATTAATCTGCCCAAACATGAACTAAATGCTTTTTACTGCACAAAAGATGTTGGAATTTGTAATGAGTACCAGGAATCCTATTTGCGTTTCACTTAATTAGCCGAATTTAATTAACGTTCTTAACTCTTAACCAGGGGTCGGACAAAGTTGGCAAATCAGAAACGAAACAAGTTTCTTGCATGCACATTTTCTACAACTTTTAAAAACAGAAGATATCCTCAAACAAAGACTTAACAGATTATAAGAATTCATAGTAAATTGCATGAAATAAGAATTATTTTTTATGACGTCACAGAAGTGACGGGGGTCAACTCTAAAACAAAACTAAGTTATCAGAGTGAGTCGATTGTTTGTTTTACGTATTAGCGTTGTGCTTGGTGGCAATTACGTGGAATTTCGAATCATTTTCTCACTCCAGTACAGCATAAGCATCAATACATTGAATACCAAGAATATACAGTAGCTTTTATCTTTTCGTAATTCTTATTTTATGCATTTTGCTATGAATTCTTAATCTGTTACTATTGGTCTTCTAATCAAAGTCTTGGTTTATTGACGCACTTGGTATGAAAGTTTTGACACTTATCCAGCCTCAGCCATTTGAAATTACTAAAGTCATTGATGGAAAGTTAAAAGCAAAGTCACAGCTTTCAGTCATGGACAATGACCTTTAGTCATTTAATATTACTGATTTGTTCATTTTGTTGGAAAAAATTAATGAAGTTGCGAAGGACGGAGCTGAGTCGGCAATTATAGAAATTTATGATCCATTACGTCTTCATTTCGCTTTTTCATGCAGACATTTTGCAGAAACATTTTCATTTTGCAGAAACATTTTCATTTTGCAGGCACATTTTAATTTTAAAACTTTAGAAAAGGGCGGCTTGTACAATTTTTACGCAGATCAAACAACAGTTCGGTTTCCCTGTTTAATGAATTAGAATAATTAGGCAGCTACGGTATTAAAAAGGCTTTCCAGTAGAGCGCATGAGTTCATGGAAATTATTCTCGTAAGGAACTCTGGCCGCCATCAAAGAAATACTAGATTTGCTTATTTAATGCTTCGTTGCCCTCGTTATTGCAAAGCCGCTAAGATTGTCCGTTCCTTGTCCATCAAAGCGACGAAGGATCGCAATATACTCTCCCATCATAACTACTAAGACGCGGATAACCATTACAACTTTGAAAAGACGTCTACAAAGACATATCTGGAAACCAAAAGGAAAACGTATAAGATTTGCTAGCTGTCTGCACATAACTTACCAGCAGTTAAGCTGATATCTCGGTCTGCATGCAGTGGCGGCTTGAAGCCTCCAACTTGGGGGGGGGCACAATTGAGGGGCAAACTAATAGTGGGGAGGTGGGCATTGGCGGAAATTCACTTTTTCCGGAGGGGGGGCCGAAGTCTTCTAAATTTCCGATAAAACTTTCAAATTTCCGACAACCCCCCCCCCATATGCACTCCAAAAGGCTGTCTTTAGCCATTTTATAGGTCAAAATTTCCGAGGGGGCCGGCCGGCGGCCGCCCCCCGTCCCACCGAGATTTCCGCCACTGTAGGTGGGGACCTTTTAAACAGCGATGTTATAAACGTATATGTAAGAATTATTTTTAATGAAAATTTCGAGAAAAGTATACTAAAATCCATTTCTATCGACATATAGAAATTTAAATTTTTTTAAGAAATGTTGCTTGAAATCGAAAGTATAGTTATAATCATTCAAATGTTACGGACTCGATATTTTAGCAATTAAAGGCAGATCTACAATGTCTGTTTTGTGATGTGAATAAGTCAGATATCATCCTTAAACCGTTAGTTATTTGTTTGAAAAATAAATCGGCTGGTCTTCAAGCGTTCAAGAAGCTCCAAGCACTTTGTGTTTTCTGTATTGGGTGGCAGTCGAGAAGCTTTTCCGGCTTAAAAAACGAAAATGTTTTTTGGTGCAGTAGAACGTTTTTCCTACGTGAATAGTTTGTTAATAGTTAGTGCTTAAGTCGCGAAAATCTAATTAATAATAATAAGAATAAGAATAATAAAAACTTTATTTAAACTGTTAAAAATCCCATCAGCAATACTGCTGGTATTAAGGGGTGAACAGTGATTACAACTACACCGCAAAGCAAAATCAATAATTGATCTTGCTTCATAGTCAGATTTAAAACTCGTAAATATTTTTGTCCTAAGCGCTATATATCAGTATTTTATACCTCTTGTTAATAGCTGTTGTTGTCTTTTCTACTTCTTTCATGTTTTCAATCTCGACCGTCATTCCTTCTACTTCGATGCCAACCTCCGAAAATTCTTTCTGCAAACGTTCTGTTATTCTTCCAGATTCATAATCTTCCAATTCAAAACGTCAAGAAATCTTTGATCCGTGAAACAACAAAGTAAAACATGTAGAGATCCTGGTTTGATACGCGGAATATCTTGATCTCTTTCACCACCCAAGCCTTTTTTAACAGCTCCTTCAATAACTGGTTTTAACTGTTCATAGCCGCAGTAAAGAGCACCAAGCGAAACTGCATTTATGCGTACATCTTTTGCCACATCGCCTGAAACTTTAAAAAAATCTTTGAATGGCGGTGCACCTGAATCCTGCAGTGGCGGTATTGCTTAATGACATTACCGACGGTTGATCTATTTGTTAGTCCAAATGCAGTAGCGCCTAACTCTTTCGTTACTTCTTCAACTGCAATACCGCATAATGCTGCTGCTGCTGCTGCTGCTGCTAGCGCACTACCAGTGATAACGACGAAGGAAAAGGCACCACCCATTGAACCAGGCGGAACATGGCTTGTTGTGTCCTGAACTGGTTTTTTATCTTTATAATTGCCCCTAAAATTAAGAATCGAAAGAGGCGAAATTAAATTAATGCAAAAGATTCTACTAAAAAGACATCGTTGCAGCATAAATAAACATTTAATGCCCGTTTTCTAGCATAGAGTAAGGACCTTTACTCGGCTGGTTTTGGCAGGTTTGGTCAGTTTTGGGCTAGCATTATGCTGTGCTGAGTGGTTATATTACTACCTTAAAAAACAACAGAAACTCGACGTTTCGAGCGAATGGCCTTCGCGGAGGGCACCAAAAATTTTTCCGGGCAGAATCCCGAAAAGTTGGGCAATTTTCTTTCCGCCCCCCTAATTTTTTCCTTCCGGTACGCCCATGAATGACGATGACGAAATTATGATTTCATTTGTCGTTGCATGCATCACTATTTACTGCCATCCCAGTCGATAGAGCATGTGAACACATTCGTAATAAACTTAGCAAAGATGACACACTAGGACAACGTTCTAAATTATCTATTGATGATATCATTAAACTCTAACGCTTCACTCTGTCAAACAGCAACTTTAACTACAATAACAAGACGTACAAACAGATTCACGGCTGTGCTATGGACAGTCCCGTTAGCCCTGTTGTGGCAAACCTTTGTATGGAGGATGTTATTTTATTTATTTTATTTTATTTTACAATCTTTGTCACATGACCGGTTTAACCCACAGAGCTAGTTGCTCCTTTACGGGTAACCTGCTAATGCAATACTGAAATATAGGTTAACACAGTGGATATATCGCTTCAAAATCTCTAGTCACTGAGACGTTTGATTTAATGTGGTTCTGAGCAATTCTAATCATGTGGATCGAAAAAATGAATTTAAATTTTACATGCTCACTAACAAAGTGATATTTCCACTGGGTTAACAGCAACTAATGACAACACAGTTTGACAGAAAGACTAGACAAGGGACGACACAAATGACACTTTACACACATTGTTTTAAACGTTTGTGGAACATCATTGTCGTAGACCTCTTCAACACGTTTTTGGTAATATTTAAATAGGCCGCATTTTAAATTGAGTGATTGAGAGATTTGACTGCCTAAGTGTGATGGTAAACAGTTAAAAGTCCTGGGTGATCTGCAGTAATAACTGTTCTGAAGTATTAAAGTGTTTACTTTAGGAACTTGTAATATAATTTTTGTTGTTCCATCATTTTCTCTCGTCAACCGATCTGTTGTCTTTACATGGATATTATGGTAATTATATAGAACTAACGCTTTGTAAAGGTAGACCATATCCAGGAATTCATGCCAGTATGTTAATGGGAGTAAACCACTTTTGACAAGTCTATCTTTGTATGATACTCCTGACAAGAATGGCAGTGATGAAAGGTATCTGGTGGCGCGACGTTGGACGTTTTCTACTTGAAGGATAAGTGATACCGAGTGTGGTGACAAAATTTTTGGGCAATAAGCCATCTGGCTTCGCACCATTGTCTTGTAAAGCGCAAGGCGGGTTTTCTCGTTGCAAATGTCCATTGATGATCTTTTAATGAAGCCGAGCATTTTGCTTGCTTTGACACATACCATGGACACGTGCTGGTTCCATTTAAAATCGGATGTGATGATCACTCCAAGATCTTTCTGGGCATTGGTTCTTTTGATGGGAGTGTCGCACTTAAGGTGGTAGCTCGACGGCACTAGCTTCAGATTTCTGGTCACCTAAAGAACTTCACATTTCGATTGATTCAGATTCATCCGCCACGATTCACACCAATTGTTAATACCATCAAGGTCTTTTTGAAGATATTGTTCATCCTTATGTGATCTAACTGGACGATAGCATTTAGTATCATCAGCATACAAAGCAATAGACGATGTAGATGTTTCCTGCGGAAGATCGTTCACGTAAATAACAAACAGTAAAGAACCAAGTATTGAACCTTGCGACACGCCAGAAAGTACTGGGAGAGAATGTAAAGTTTTGCAAAGGACAGTTACTCTTTGGTGACGATTGGTTAAGTAGTCTTCAAACCTTTTCAACAAAGTCCCACCAATCCCGAATTTCTTTAACTTTCTTACAAGTAAACGATGATCAACTCTATCAAAAGCCTTTGCAAAGTCAGGCAGATGATGACTGTTTGGACTCTCATGTCAAGCTTTTCACCGATCTCTTGTAGTACTTATAAAAGTTGGGCCGTTGTTGATTTGCCTCTGAGAAAGCCGAATTGGAGATGATGAAGGTTGATGGAAACGTGAGCTATCAGTCTATTGTACACACAATGCTCGAAAACTTTGAAAACAATAGAAAGTAGGGAAATTGGACGGTAATTAGAAACTACTTTTAATAGTCCTTTCTTTGGAATTGGTACCACGTTAGAAATTTTCCACGCCGCAGGGATTTTCCCACATTTCAGACTAAGATTGAAGAGATTACAAAGAGATGAACATATTTGGGGAGCAGAACATCTTAACAGTTTTGCAGGAATGTTGTCTGGACCAGTTGCTTTATTGTCTCCCAGAGAAAGAAGGATATTCTTTACTTCGTCAGGGCTGATGTGTATGTCACTCAACGTTTCACTGAGAGGGATGGTGGTGGTTGATGGATGATCTTCATATTCTTCTTCGGATAATGAAGGTTTGAACGTGGAGTGGTAATTTTGTTCAAGAGGTTGGCAATTTTATCAGGTTCCTCAGCTGTGACGGTGTGTTCGCCCTGAGACCACACCATTTTACTGGGAACATTAGAAGTGCGTGAAACGGATTTAAACACCGACCAAAACTTCTTTGTGCTGGAGATCATCAGATCTGGCAATGACTGGAAAAACTTCTTTCGCTTCCGTGCTACGAGCGTTTTAAACGAGCGACGAAGGTTTCGGAAGTGTTCTAAATGGTTAGGCTTATATGTTCTTTTTGATTTTCTTCGCGCCTTTTCTTTCTTTTTTAAAAAGGTGACAGGTTTCGCTGTCGAGCCAAGGAGGAGTGTTACGTCTCTTCACCACTTTGGTTGGAATATGCTGCACGGTTGCATCCATCAGCTTTTTCTCCAGCGTCGCCAGACCATATTGATATCTACAACAGCACTTGGATCACAGTCGGCATTCTCTGGTGAAATATTCATAGACGAGAGACCGATATTAAGTCTTTGCGGAGGTTCTCCCAGTCTGCTTGATGGTAATCAAACACTGATCGAGATGTTCGAGGAGATAATTTGGGATGAACTTGAAATTTAAAAAGTAGCAAGTTATGGTCACTAAACATATCGACAGATGTTGGTGATATGCAGGACAGGTCAATAACACATTTCGGGCTGTTCGTTAAAATTAGATCAAGGATATTGTTTAATCTCGTCTGAAAAACGTTAACTTGTTGAAGGAAGAAATCGTAGATCAGTTCACAAAATTCCATCGCGAAAGGAGAAGGAGTTATATCTTGAATGTTGTCTGAGTTCCATGTCAAGTCAGGGAAATTAAAGTCACCAGTTATAAGAACTTTGTCATATTGTTCACAACATGTCACAAAGGAGGTAAACGATTTTAACCATTCTTTGATATTAACGTTTAGTGGACGATAACAAACACTTAACAAGTATTTTGTGTTCTTAGTTTTGAGTTCAACAACAACGATTTCGAGGTTAGGTTGATTTTTCGGGGTAATTGTGTCGTATTGTAAACTCTCGCGTAATACCATCAAAACACCACCGCCGCGTTTTTCAGATCTCTTCTTACTATGTTGTAACCACAAGGCAGTATTTCTTTATTTAAGATTGTGTCGTTGAGCCATGTTTCAGTGACAGTTATAATATCAAAACTGTCTGAGTAGACAAGATCTTGAAACATACTCAGGTTGCTTGTGGTAGATCCATCTTCTTGTTTGTTTACGCTCTTAAGACTTCGAGCATTGAATGACAAACAACGTAAGGCTGTATTTTGAACAGGGCAACTGTATGTTGAGCTGCAGGCAGGTCCAGGATTAGTTGCTATATCACCAGCAAGTAGAATACACAAGAGAAGGTGAAAATTGCTAATCGCAATGTTAACTTGAAGGCCATATCTGTGATTAGACATGAGAGGGAAAGTAGACTTGCGTAAAGTATTATCGCGCGTGGAAGACCAAAGACAACACAATCGATTTGATATTGACACTAGTTCTGGGGAAATGCTACAGATATTCATATTCTGGGGAACTGTTCTGTCGTTGAGTTAAATTTCTGATGGTTTTGATCTTATTATCAACTAGAAAGTTAAAATGAGAAAGAAGAGTTTTCCAAAAACTTTATTGAGCATTTTATTGAAGGTTATTCTATTTGATTTAAACACCATTGCATAAGATAGTTGTTGCCATGGAGAGCGACGGCAGACGGGATTTAAATTTCAAAAGTTCCAACGGTCAAAAATAATTAGTGTTGAATAATTCATGAACAGTACATTTAAATAACACCAAAATTATACAAAATAACCACAAAACGGTTCGTAGATCACACAGCAAGATTCGGACGAAAACGACGACAAAGATATTGTTCATTAACCAAAATTCACAGTTGTAGCGCTATAATAATACGATAGTAATACGATCCAACAAACCAAAATAATTTTACACCACGATACAAATCCAATTTCAAAATACGATGAGAGGATGCACAAAATCCTTAGCTTTAATTAAATATAAAACTTAATATAATAGCTGAGAAATTAACTGAAAATTTTTATATTTAAGCGGAGGTCGCTCAAGCGTTGAGGAAATAGCAAAAAATTTAGTTGAGGAAATAGCCTTTAACCACACCGACACACCACCTAAAACATGGTTTCGCTTTGTGCATGGATGATGTTTTCTTGATAGTCAAAAAAATGCAATCACTAATTTCCACAATTTACTGAATTCCATTCCCCCACACGTAACCTCTCTATTGAACAAAAAAAACCGGACAACTTTCCTTCTTAGACACAATAGTAACTCGTAACAACGCGAGTCTCTCATCGTTAACGTCCTAGACTACAACTCACACCATGACAAACAACACAAGATTAGCACTGAGCACGAACACTCCTACACCGAGCAGCCCATCTCCCTTACACGAACGAAGGCAAACAACAAGAGAAAGATCGTGTTTTTGACGCCTTGAGAAGTAATGGGACCAATGGGTATCCAAAAATGGACGAGGTAGGGAAGAGACGCGCAAGAAAAACAAAATTCGTGCCATAACACGAAGAGCTTGTACGTACATTTTTTGAAAATGTCGAACCAGAGAACAACTTCAGCTCGCAGTCCTCCCCTATATTAACGGCTCAACGGAACCCCTGAAAAGATTACTCAGACGATACGGCATCAGAACCACAACGAAACCACTCCGTACTTTAGAACTACGTTTTCCGTCACTAAAGGACAGACCATTTCCCGAGAAACAGACCAACGTTGTTTTCAAGATTAATTGCGCGGACTGCTCCTGGAGCTATATAGGTGAGACCGGCAGAGCTCTCGAAACGAGAAAAAAGGAACACAAGAGAAACGTGCAACAACGTGAATCCGGTTCCAACATAGCAAACCATGCTTGGACTCAAGACCACAAAATCAACTTTGATGAGTGCAAAATCCTACACAAGGCAACCTATGGATACAGAGCAACATCAGTATACTGGAGTCCTAGCATTCAGCAACCACAATAAATTCTGATAACAATGCGCAACATTTACCAGAACAATATAGATTTGTATTAAAAAAGAACAGATCATAGTTTTATATTTATTCATTTTACTAGAGTTTAGTAGGCGGAACAACGCATTGTTATTGCATGTCATTTCAATTGTAATCGTAAACCACTTTCCTAGTAGCAATATCCGTAGAATAGTTTTATATTTAGTATCACTTTACCAGGATCTATTCTAAAAGACCACACGAGTCAGAACACGAGTAAACACGAGTGAACACGAGTGAACACGAGACAACACGAGTGAACACGAGTCAGAACACGAGTGAACACGAGTCAAAAATTTGTGAACACGAGTGAACACGAGTCAAAAACTGACGAACACGAGTGAACACGAGTCAAAAATGACGAACACGAGTGAACACGAGTCAATAATGACGAACACGAGTCAAAAATCTGTGAACATGAGTCAAAAACGCATTCTTAAAGAGGCTCCTTACAGTTTTAAGCCCGTGATGAAGGCCGGTCTGTACTGTGTAACTACACGCGGGAGAGTCAGGATTCTTGGCGGCCCAACAGGATGTTGGATTAATAATAATAATAATTATTATAACGAAAACTTTATTCAATTTTAATATTAATAATTATAATTATATAATAATATACATAATAATAATGAATAATATATTAATTATTATAATAATTTTTATTAAATAAAAATTATTATTAATTAATTATTACATAAATAAATAAATAAATAAATATGTATATATATATATATATAT